CCCCCCCACTGACAAAAAATCTTTTTTAAAAAATGACCCTATTGGAAACCTAAGTTCATATAGTCACATATAAGTCGATGCTACAAACAACAGCATGAATCCACTATCTTAAAAATAGTTACACTCTAACATACTGGATAGCTTCTAAACTTTTGAGATGAAGTAGATGTTTTAATATTTTAATAAGGGGGCTAGAGAGATGGCTCAGAGGTTAAGAACACTGGCTGCTCTTCCGAAGGCAAATGCCCAGCAACCACATGATGGCTCACAACCATCTGTAATGAGATCTGGTGCCCTCTGCTGGTGTGCAAGCATGCATGCAGGCAGAACACTGTACACAAGATTTTAATAAGGCCAATGCGGCATTCCATTTTGACTAAGGCAATAAACAAAGCAAACATTTCCTCTTTCTGGCCACTATTATCTGCTTTAGTGTCTGTGTAAAGAAATGATGTGGACACACTCACCCAGAATTGTACTCTTTAAGCCAGTTCAGGAGTGCATCTTTGTTGAAGGCTGCTGTGGCAGCCACGTTGCTACTGTTCAGCTGAATGTCAGCGATTGTCTCAGAGGTGCTAACAACCTCAATGAGGCCAGAGCGATCTCCTGTTGCTAAGCAGCCATAGGGAAGCATCCTGGGAGGGAAAAATAGACATAAGGGACCATGTTTTCTATGGGAGAAAACATTAATTTTGTAAGTTTTTCCTTTGACTTAGAAGAATTTTATTATTGACAGACTTGTCATTTCTCAGTAACACCATATGGAAAATAGAAGTTCTTCTACCTTCTGCTAGAGAAGGCTTGGGCCAACAGATGGAATGATTTACCAGAATGCTGCATCTCATGCATCATTTGCTATGAAATTACACTTGTGAAATATTAGATTCGCCTGCACTGATGGACAGAAGCACGTTAGGCATACAAGGAGTCATCCCCTTTTACTCTACATCTTTGGGACCAGGATAATTTTTATGGAATGTGCAATGGCATCTTTGTTAAGGCAACTTCACTCTGCAAATATTTATATCCACAACCTTGCAGTCATCCTTCACTCTCCTCATAACCAGCATTCAGTTTACCAGACTTAAACTGGTTCAGATCCAGGAATGGTAATCCTAGAACTTGAAGCTGAGGCAGGTTTGGAAGTTCAAAGTCATCCTGGGCTATGAAGTGAGGGAGGGAGTGCAGAAAGGGGGAGGGGCCATAGGAGGAAGGAGTGGGAAGGAAGTGGAGGAAATAGAGAACACAAGCCCAGAATCTTAGTAATTCTGCACCCCTACCTGCAAACACCCCAGTCCAAGTCACTGCCAATGTTCACCTAGGAATTCTCAACAGTTTCTTAGCTAGGCTTCCTGGTTTCCCCGGCAGCAAGACCTACTTCTTCTGACAAAAGTTCTATATGACACCCTAGCCCTACCAACCAACCCAACCAACCCAACCAACCAAAGGACAGAATGTATGGGTTCACTAAATGGCTGGGTGCAGCCATGTGGCACACATTCTACCAGATACCAGACATGATTCAGAAATAAGCAGTCCCTATTCTCACTAAGCTTCTGAAGAACGAGGAACAATGTGAGTATGATTGCTATGAGGGGGTGCCCTGGCAGGAGCCCAGAAACACCTCTTCAGATGGGACAGGGGAGACGGCTCAGCTGTTACAAGCACCTGCTACTCTTACAGAGGATGCAAGTTCAGTTCCCAGCACCCACATCAGGCAGTTCACAACAACCTGTAACTCCAGCTCCTGGGAGATCTGATGCCCTCTACTGGCCTCTGAGGACACCTACACTCACATGCACACTCACAAATACACTTAATTGAAAATTTAAAAAAAATTAAGATAAAGAGATGGCTCACTGGGTGAAAATGTTTGCTATGCAATAGTGAGGTCCTCAGTTCAGAGCTCTCAACAACCTAGCTCCAGGTTCAGGGACACACTCTCTTTCAAAGGAACAAGGTAGAGAGTGATAGAGCTGGACACCCGACTTCCTCCTGGCTCTGTACATGCTCCTCCTGCATCCCCTTTCCAGAGAGTTGACGACTTATCTGAACTATACAGTAAGACCAAGGCCAACCTGAGGAACTTAGAAAAGCCCTATATTTAAACAGACCTTTTGAAGAGGGAGGATGGGAAGGAGCAAAGTGAGGAAATGATTTGACATGTTGGAAAGATGGCATGGGGTCCTACTGGTCACATGAAGGTTAGAGAGGCAAGAAAAAACGGTGTGTGTGGATGTATAACAATCGGATGAAAGGCTAAAGCTGTGTTAGTTTCTAAAATTACTTCTAAAAAAGAATTTAATTATTGTGTATTCCTTTGAATGAGAACTACACTGCTGAACTACATTCTGGCAGACTAAAATATGAATGAATTATTTTAGACCTATATTATTAATATACTTGTCTTTCTTAAGAAGACAACTAAGGAACATTAAATATTTTACTAGTGCCTGGCAGCCTATTGTGTCACAACCCATGTAAAGCAAACACTTGTGGGTTAAAGTGCACTTTCTTGCTTTCCTGTACCCCTTACATCCCACTTACAGCCCAAACTGGGCACAAGTCCAACAACTTCCTCTTCAAAAGCAAGCAATGATGAAAGCAATCAGTGACTTAAGGATGGAACATTCACAATGGGAAGGAAAAAACATCCTCATCTGAAAGACAGTTTGACAGAAGTCATGCTGGGGGCAAACTTTTGGAACCCTCCTTAATCATCACATGGAGGCCTCTCTTGCCCTGAATGTCTACAGGCTTTATAAGGGACAGGACAACACTTCTAACGTTTACCTTCCTTTCTCACACTCTCTGACCTGAAGACAATGTTACCTTCATGGGAAAACAGGATTTTAAAATGAGACACACTGCACTACAGAGAGAGGAAGCAGTCCTTTATCCCTCCTTTACTGAACTGATCCAAGTCAGGGTAGCACCTCAGTTCACTGGCAAAGGTCAGAGTGCAAACTCACCTTACGTAGTGTCCGCACTGCTCCCACATGTTTCCTAACCCCTGACCCTGCCAATGCCAATAGCACTGAATATCTTACATGTAACTTTCATAGAGTCTCTTAAGTGAGAAAACTCATCAGTAGAGTCAGGCATGGTGTTGCACACCTTTAATCCCAGCACTCCTGAGGCAGAGGCAGGTGGATGACTGTGAGTTTGAGGCCAGCTTGGTCTACAGAGTGAGTTCTAGGACAGCCAGAGTTACATAATGGAGAGTTCCTATCCGCCTTGACTACCTCAAGAAAAATTCCTCCAGTGAAACTTAGATGTATGTATAAGTGAATAAACACAATTACTGATTTTTTTAGTTGACATGTAGCACAGGGACAAGTGATACAGAGGACTGCCAAGTCTACTAAATGTCACACGGATTTGAGGTTGACAACTTTTCAGTTGACAGGAAAAGCTAACTAAGTAGTAATTGCTAAGCAAAAGACATGGTGTTTCAACTTATTTATACCTTATAGATGTTCTGCTTTTGACATGAAGGATACCAGAGTATCATGAGCCATCAGAGAAAATTTAAATGAGCACAAGTATTTTGGTTAACGGAAGCATGGCATTGTTACTAAAATAGTAACATATAGGAAGCACCCAAACATTTAAGATTGACTGAAGAGTGCATGCTGCACGACCCAGTTTAACCTGAACAGCTGCTCAAAAGAAAAACAAACACAACAGGCATGCTAGAGCACTGATATTTATAGAAACAGTAAAGAAGGTTTGGTGAGAAAGAGATAGGAGTTTGAAAGAACTCAAAGCTCTACAATTTAAAAAAAAAAATGGGGTCAGAGGACAGAATGCCACTAACATCCTTCTGCACAGGACTGAGCACACATCCAGCACTCTCATGCGTGACTGGCTCCCTTTATCTGAGGTTACAACGACAGTCATGGTGCTAAATGCACGCCAACTTTGGATGGAATGGACAAAACCAAAGCAGAGACGACAAAACTGGCTTGGAGTTTTCAACTAGGCTGATGGGGCTAAGAAGCAGCACTGAACAGCCAGTCTTCAGCTCAGGTTTTATAACTCGGAAAGGCCCATCCTACAGTCAAATCTTCAACCAGCAAAGGATCGCCTGGTAGTCTCTGATAATCACAGAAAGAACAAAGGAGTCACCAAGCCAGAGTTTAAAGTTTCTTTTGTTATAGGATCTGTGGTGGTTTGAATGAGAGTGGACCCCACAGGAAGGCACAGGAGGTGTGTCACTGGGGGTGGGCTCTGAGGTTTCAAAAGACTCCTGCCATTCCCAGTTAGTGTGTTCTCTCTGCTTCCGGCTTGCTGTTCCATGTGAGAGCTTTCAGCCATTCTAGCTACCATGCCTTAGCGCCACAATCACGGACTCAAACCCTCTGAAACTGAATGTCCAGTTAAATGCTTTCTTCTATAAACGGCCTTGGTCATGGATCCAATCAATAAAATCACTTTCCTGTAGTTTCTTTTATATGGGAGAAATCAGTAAACTTTTAGGATGGGCTAGAGAATTTTAAGCACTGCAAGGTAACTCTGCTGTTGGAATATATAAGCAGCCATAGACAATTGTGTAAGGAAGGGACTATGTGCCATTAAGATTTTATTTACCAGATTAGGTAGCCCATGACATCTTACTGAGCTCATGGTTCATAAGCAGAGGTTCATTTACTGCAGTGGTTAATAATGACTGCTGACTGGTCTGAATGAAGAAATAACTACAGCATTAGTTTGGTGTGTCCGGGGTGGAGGGTGTTGCCAGATAAGATCGTCTGACAGGGAGGATGTGCCAGGATAGAACGAAAACAAGAGAAAATAAGAAAGCCAGCAGAACGCTGCCACCCCTTTATTCCTCTGAGTTCTTATCTGCAGAGAAGTAAATAGGCAGCCTCTACCTTCCAAGGCTGGGAGCTGGTCTTGTCCCAGTGAGTTCTCCACAATGGTGGAGTGATACCCTCTGAACTATGATCCCAAAACCTTTCTTCCCTTGAGCTGCTTCATGTTAATATATTCTGTGTCAATTTGATGTGTGTTTCCGTGTTTTTCCTTCCATCGTGGCATGTGGGAACTGAACTCAGCCAACTGCGCTTGTGCTGCAAGCTTTTACCTACTGAACTATCTCACTGGCCCCTACATTGCTTCTTGGTAGGAATGTAATCACAATAACAATAACAACTATAATAACACACTCAGCCTCTATCTGTGATGTATTCCTTATGAATGAATGGTTAAGGGAATAAAGCTATCATTCACACATAACAGTGTTTTTAAGTAATCAGAAATTCACAGGTTAAAGGAAAAATATACCACATACAGTGACTGTTGGGCCCTTTTTGGGTGAATTTTGACATGGGGTCTTAGAGCTGAAAGAAGTAGACACACATGCTCCCACTCCTAATCCAGAAGCAATCTGTAATTGATAACTACTTGCAAATAAAATCGAGTGCTGGGATTAAAGGTGGGTGCCACCACGGTCCAGTTTTAATTTTATCTTTTTTTGTTAATTTTTATGGATCTTTTTGCCCCACATGTCTTTTATGTATATTTTATGGCTTCTAGTTTAGCGTTTTTATGGAATTCCTGAGTGTGAGAACAAGTGGATCTGTTTCCTGTGCCTTCTCTTGTGGGTCTTTTCCTTCTGTTTGTCTGTTTTGCCCAATTCCGACATGTTGGTTTGTCTTTATTTATTTATTTATTTAAGATTTATTTATTATGTGTACAGTGTTCTGCTTGCCTGTTTCCCTGCAGGCCAGAAGAGGGCACTAAATCTCATTACAGATGGTTGTGAGCCACCATGTGGTTGCTGGGAATTGAACTCTGGACCTTTGGAAGAGCAGGCAAGTGTTCTAAACCACTGAGCCATCTCTCAGCCCCTAGTTTGTCTTATCTTACCATATTTTATTTTACTATTCTCCCTTAGAAGGGGATGGATCTGAATTTCTACTGTCCTGATTTCTCTCACATGTTAAAAAAGAGTAACACAACCTTATGGAGCTGTGAGGTTTGCAAGAAATAATCTACATGAAGCTAACAAAGTGCCTTGGTTTGTCAATGCATAGCAACAATTTCAAATCTTTTTACAAAGGAGTTCAACAGGTTGCAAAGACACATGGCTGGAATCCCAGCACTTTAGACACTGAGGCAGGATAATGAATTCAAGTCCATTTTGCCTGTAGAGAAAGTTTAATACCACCCCGAGCTATATAACAGACCCTCTCTCTCAAAACAAAAGTCACCAAGCTTGAAACTGGAACCTGGCACCTGACTCTGGATGCTTATTCAAGTTGTATTAAAGTCCAAATCTACCCTTCTCTGGAATCTCAAGCACATGCAGTTTTAAGTATGATGAGATTCAAACAGGGTGATGGTTAGAAAGCACACAGTAAAAGGCCGTACTAACTGTTGTTACGAACATAATTAAAAGAAAAGGGAAGGGCTCAACAGGAGGAAAACACAAAATAAGCAAAGCACTTGAGTGCTCACCGAAGGTCCAAACCGGCCTCTTTCCAGAGCAGATCCATCAGGCGTAGCATCTGCAGCGTCAGCATGTCCTGCCGCAAATCTAAGGGAAAAGCCTGCTAAGTTACATGCACTTGCCACCTTGTGCACACTCCCCCACCCCCACACTTGTTAGCTCAACCTTAGACATTCAGTCAGATTCACTAAACCCATTGCCAAGCACTGGAATTTTCCCACAATTTTAATCTTGCCTATACTCATTGTATCATACAGGCTCAGTGATCAGAATTTCCCTGTGTGGTTTCAGAAATTAAGTTTTCAACTGTTTCCCATGTGTGAACTACTGTACCAACCACAAGAATACCACGAAAGTACATTTCTACATATATCACGGCATTGTTAACTTCTCCCGCCTTTAAGGCTTCACAGAAAATTCTTAGGAATCATACAAGTAAGTCAGTGCACTAGAGTCCAGAAAACTGTAATGGTTGATTTTATTTATCATTATGTCCATGGGTGCTTCTAGTCTCAACACTCATGAGATTGGAAATTTGAAGCCAGCCTTGGCTATATAGTGAGAATATATATCATAACAAAATCATAACAAAAGATAAAAGTTATGTCAACCTGACACAACAGCACACAACTGTAATCCCAGTACTTAGAGGTGGGGAAGGTAGGGGGCATCAGAGTTCAAGGCCATTCTTGACTATATATAATGAGTTCAAGGCCAACCCTGGTTACGTAAAATTGTCTTTCTTCTTCTCCCTGCTTCCCAAAGAGTACTTTTGAAAAAAATAATGTCCAAGTAAACAAGTTATACTGTTTGTATAGTCTAGTGGAGTAAAATATTTAGCAATACATCACAAGGGTTCAATATGCTGACACATTCCTGTAATCTCAGCACTGGAGAGGCTGAGTCAGGAACTCAGGTTTGAGGCCAGCCTTTGCTACAGAGTGAGACACTATCTCAAGGAACTCGAACCACTCTGAATAAGTTCTATTAAGAAGTTGCAAGCATGTATAAATAAGTCATTGCTTGTGAATCCCTTAAGGACTCTGGTACAGAGATGTTACACCTTCATGAGCTGGAGACCCTAAAGGTAATCAGTTACAGGGCTTGCTTGTGGTCATATACCATACAAGCCATGGCTGTCTTTGGCTGGTGCCACTACTTCAGAGGCGTTTCCTTACAAAGTCTGGTCATCAGCTCTATCCAAACATGAAACTCTGGCAATGATTTCAAAGTTGCTGTCACTGGAACAGGATGCATGAATATATATTGAGATATCTCACCTTTTACAAGCTTTTCTTATTTGTATTTTATAGGGAAAAATAGGAAGGCTTACTAGGTAACCAATTAAACCATAGAAGTGATTTCATAGGAAGAAAGGAGGGGATCCTCGGGGATGCTGAGCTGACCTCATGAGCACTGGCACTGGCTTTTTGGCTACTATCACACTGACACCACACCTTTCCAGGACTTACCGTCACCGTTTTTAAAGATCACTCCAACTGAGTCCTCTCCAAAACCTCTGTTGCTGTAGACCAGCCACAAGGGCTTCATCTTGGAGTCCATGTATTTGCACTTTTCAACACTGAAATCAGCAAAGGGGGAATGAAGCACCTCAGAATAACCATGTGCAAGACTGCAAAGATGCCCCGAGGCATCAGGCTTACAAGCCCCTCACCTATTTCTTCCAGAGTCTACAGAAGTCATAGAGAGAGACCCTTTTCTGGGTAGAAAGGATCCCAGAGGACAGTCCTGGCTGGCATGTACAGATGCCAATGGACAAAGCTGAGACCTAGAGGCTGACCTTTCATTAATGCCACTTGAAATTTCTCCTTGTTTTCTTATACTTCCTGAACTTTTTATATTTGGCGAGTAAAACATTAGAATCTACGACTGCATTGAAATGAGAATTACAAATAACTCTTGATTTTTAAAAACATTTCTTATCTATGCTGTGTAAATGTATATGTGTATACTGCAGAGGCTAGCAGAGGGCATCAGGTCCCCTGGAGCTGGCGTTAAACATTATTGTAGGCCATCTGACATGAGGGATGGAAACAAAACCCTGGTCCTCTCCTCCACAAGAACAGTAAGCCCCTTAAATGTTGAGCCACGTCTCAAGCCCTGATTTCACAATGAGGGATCAATTCTGAGTACTGTGTTGACACAGAGTGTATTTTCCACTTCTGTATGAATGAAAAGATGGCAAATAGTTTAAATCTCATTTTAAAACAGGACTTAGGAAATAATGCGTCATGGTTTCCAACTTTTTGCTCATACAGGATTTTCAATTCTTAAAAATTGGTAATATAGCCAGGAATGGTGACACATGCCTGTTTTACCTGAACTCAGCAGGCAGGAGGATTATGTGTTCAAAGCCAGCCTGTGCTACATAAACAGTTTGAAGCTAGCGTGGGCTATAGAAAGCCCTGTATCAAAATTAACTTAGGCTGGAGAGATGGCTCAGTGGTTAAGAGCATATACTGCTCTTGGAGAGGACCCGAGTTCAGTTCCCAGCACCCAAGTCAGGTAGCGTACAACAGCAGCTTACGACAGCCTGTAACTCAAGATCAGGGGATCCAAGTCCCTGCCACTGTGAACACTGCATTCCTGTGCACAAGCCCCCTGCCCCAGCCTGTAATTAAAGATAATAAAATCTTTTTTAAAAAGCTACCTTTTATCTGTTCTGATATACAACTAAAATTATATATAACTGAAAGAAATTAATTTACAATATTACTAATCTCACAGACAAAGCTAGCTCTACAGCCTCATGAATACAAACACAGTCTCTGAAGACTTCATGCTTCCCTTCCTTGGTTACACTTGACCGCCCTGGGCTAACAGCCAGCCTCGCCAGTTTCCCAATACAGTGACTCTGAAACCTTTCCTGCATTGCTATGCTCACCGGCTACTCACTGTGCAGCAGAGACAGCCACTTACTAGAGTTCTGAGAGGATGACACATGGATTCAGAGGTGACTGCAGGCCAGAGAGGGCCTCCCGGTAGGCATTCTGTCTTAAGCAAGTGTGCATAGCCTCCTTCCCTTTCGCTCGGTTGAGCTTCATCGCATTCAACTTGATTAAGCTATTTAAAGTTTTTAACTTATTGAGTGCTTCAACCTGAAAAATAAGGTTCCCCACCCCCAAAATTCATTTATGTTACAAATAATATATCACACAGTCACATTTATCAGTAGCTCTAACCAAACACACACAAACAATCAGGTAAAATAAAAACCCGGCATATAAGGTTACTATCATATACCAGCAAAGGTATCACTTTTAAGCCCTTTATTAAATGGTATCTTATAAATTTGAGAACAGTAACCAGGCAGGCATAGACTGGGTATTTGCTGACAGGTTCAAAAGTGTATTCAATTCTACAGTTCACTGAGTAATAAAATCTGAAACACCTCCTCAATCTGAACCACTTCATCTGGACTACGCCATGGCATTGGGAATCTGTACAGAAGTAACCTGCTGTTCCCGTATTGAAACCTTATGCCTACTTCCATATCCTTGTCTCTCTTGTTTTAGACACAGCCTTTTATGTAGCCCAGGCTGCTCAGCCTCTTTAGGGCTGGAATTATAGGTATGTGCTACTGTGCCTGACAATACCTATCATCAGGTGTCTGGAATCTCAGCCTGTTTCTTTCCACTGCCAAGACCACAAGAACAGATTATGATTCAAGGTATTTGTTATCCAAGATGAAACTGCCTGCCTTTAAGCTTGGTGCAGTGGTGCACACTTTTAATCCCAGCACTTGGGGGTTGAGGTAGAGGTAGAGGCAGAGACAGCACGATCTCTGAGTTTCGAGATCAGCCTGGTCTGCAGCCAGGGTTATACAGAGAAAAATCTGTCCCCACCCACCAAATTGCTTTTATTTTTAAGATTTTTTAATTCTCTTTTTAAAAAGATTTATTTATTTATTTATTTATTTATTTATTTATTTATTTATTATGTACATAGTGTTCGGTCTGCTTGTATGCTTGTAGTCCAGAAGAGGGCACCAGATCTCACTGCAGATGGCTATGAACCATCATATGATTGCTGGGAATTGAACTCAGGACCCCTGGAAGACCAGCTAGTGTTCTTAAACACTGAGCCATCTCTCCAGCCCTTGTTTTATTCTTATTAAGTGTGCATATGTGCATGTGCCTGAGTAAATGGATGTGTACCATGTGTATGGAGGGCCCACTGAGGCCAGAAGAGGGTGCTAGTTTCCCTGGAACTGAAATTACAGGTGGTTGTGAGCCACTGAACCTGGGTCCTCTACAAGAACAACTGAGTCATCTGTCAAGCCCTAGAATCTGGGATAACTCTGGCTATCAAAACTTAAGCCAAACAAACACCCTGTACTTGTAGTGTAGCAAAGGTCAACTAGATCAAAACCATTATTGATAAAAGTCACTTTAGCCACACATGGCAGTGCATGCCTTTAATTACTGTGTATACGGTGGTGGTGGTGGTGGTGGTGGTGGTGGTGGTGGTGGGTATTGTTAAGGCAGAGGGACCCCTGTGAGTTCAAGGCCAGCCTAGTCTACATAGTGAGTTTCAGGTCAGCCAGGGATACGGTGAGATCTTGTCTCAATCAATCAAACAAGGAAACAAATAAACACCCACTCCAGCCAGTTCTGGCCATGAACACTTATGATCCCAGCACTTGGGAAGCAGAGACAGGAGAACAGCCAGGAGTCTAACACTAATCTGGTTTACATAGCAAGTTCCTAGCAAGTTCATGAGAGCACAATAACCATAGTCAATCAAAACAGAAGCAACATTTCATATATCATTAAACCTAGAAACAATAAACAGTCACAAACATATATAAAGAAAAACATAAGATATATGAGGGAAACATGATGCACACTGCTTTGAAATCCCTTTATCAGGAAATTCATTTTGTATCGTGTTTTCATTTTAAAACTTTGAACTTTGTTTCCATGCAAGAAACATTAAGACTAAGTATGGATGTGGATGTAGTTTCCTACATGTAGGAAATGAGCATGTAGTTTTCAAAGATAAGATGAGGCCTTGCTCATACAGAAAACTGAGATGTTTATGTAGCTTGATGATAAAATCAAGATGGCTGGTGCTTGCCAAGTTAGCCATCTGTCAAAACCACAAACACTCCACTTTTCAACAGTTTTCAGGAGCTATACAAACACTGGCAACAAGGAAACCAGATGAAAACTGGTCTATGAAAAGAGAACTTTCTGAACTATTTCAAATTAGAATTTCTTTCATGTTGTACAGTTGGTAACTGTTACACCCCATTAATAATTGTGTTGACATTCAATTCCTGGAATAGTATCCTAAAAGACCATAAGTCAAAAAATAGTTTTAAGTATTTCAACAATTGTCATTTTACAACTTTATAGTGATAACAAGAATATCACAGTGGGCTGGCAAAATAGCTTAGCAGGTAAGAGTACGTGCTGCCAAGCCTGAAGATCTGAGTTCAATTCCCAGGACTAACTGAAAGGCGAGAACAACTTCAACAAGCCATCCTCTGATTTCCACATGCCATGTGGCAAGCCTGCACCCCCACCCATTGTGGAAAGGGTACAGAGTCTTAGAATTCATCAGTCAAGAAACACAGTAATGGCTGGGCCTATTGGCACAGGCCTGTAATTCCTTTTACTCAGGAGGCCATCCTGGGCAACTCAGTGAGACTATCACAAAATACATTTAAAAAAGAAACAGGAAAATGGGGGTGGGGTGAGGCAGAGATTGTGCCTGAAGAGATGGCTCAATATTTAAGTGTGTTTACAGAGGACTGGAGTTTAGTTCCCCCAAACCACACTGGACAGCTTAACACTCCAGCTCTAGGGGTTCTGACGCCATCTTCTAGCCACTGCGAGCCTCTGTACCTGTGCGACCATGCATGCACACACACCGCCACACATACACACAAATCTAAAGGGGAAAAGGAGTGTGAGACTATAGCCTAGCAGTAGAGGGCTTGCCATTGACAAGAGGACAGAGGGGGTTAGGGGAGGCTGATATTACTGTAGGGATTTAAAGAGGAAAATGATATGACTGGAAATAAAGATCACTCATCAAAGGCTGTGCAGGAGAGGACTCAGTCCTTTCCCACAAAGTATTGATCAGGTTAAGTGATGGAAAGGGCAATGAAATATTTGGTCAGAGACATCACATTTGATAAACTCGACTGATCGCTGTGTGTTTAAAAAAAAAAAAAAAAAGACGCTCATACCTGCTTGGAAAGCACTTTCATGTGCCCTACGCTTCCTCGACAGTATGCTTCTAGGATGACACCGAACTGTACCGACACGGCAGGAATATGCACCTCTGACCTGCAGAAAGCCAACATTCAATTGGTTTGTTTGTCAAACACTTCAGACCATGGAAAGGAACACTGCCCTCTTTATTCTACCATGAAATACTGATTCTAGGCAGGCCAGGAGCTGTTCTCCCAACCTTACTAGTAAGATGATAACAGCCCAATCTGTTAAGTGGTAGGACTCAGAAGTTATAAGTGTTTAGTAGTTTAGTAGTTAATTCTTAAACTGAAGAAAGCCAGCATTTCCACGTTTTACTTGATTTGCCTTATGAAGGGGAAAAGAAATGTAACTTAGGAATTTAGAAAAAATGAGGCAGAAAAAGAAGTCTATTTGACTGGGGTCAATAAAAACAATGTCTCAATTAGCCATTATCCAGTTTTCTCCTCACTTCTGGCTGCTGAGTGTACAGGACATGAGTGAGACACAAGCCTCAGGGGGCATGTGAAAGTCAGAGGACTTGGTCTTCTCCTTTCTTTACATAAATACTGGGGATTGAACTCAGTTTGCCAAGCTTGCACAGCAAGAAGAACCACTGCTCACTAAACCATCTTGCTGGCACTAGTTTTCTTTTCTCACTTAAAGAATGGTGTAAAGCTGGGCAGTGGTGGCACCTTGACTTGTTTTAGTAATAGTAGTGATAATAATAGAATTCACAAACTGGAGCTAGAGAAATGGCTCAGTGGTTAACAGCACTGGCTACTCTTCCAGAGGACCCATGTTACATTCCCAGAACTCACATGGCAGCTCACAACTGTCTATAACTCCAGTTCCAGGGGATCCAATGCTCTCTTCTGGCCACTACAAGGACCAGGCATACAAGTATGTCTATACATGCAGGCAAAGCACCCACACACATAAAATAAATCTAAAAGTATTACATTATTCACAAACTTCTGAAAGAAATAAATAGATCGGCACATAGCTAACATATATTAAGACAATTAGCTTATTTTTAAATGAGAATACATGAAATTGGAAGGGAAAAGGGGGAACAGAGGAGGAATTGGAAGGGGAAGAATAGGCGTGGATTTGATGAGAAACACATATATAAGTATTAAATATTTAAAAAAAGAAAATTAGTTTGATAGAAAATATTACAATATATCAGTTGCTAAAAATCCAGAGAGGATCATGGGATAGTTGCCTGAATTGTGCCAAATGAGAAAGGTAGAGTTTGGGCATGAAAAAAGAAGACACCAAAACAACATACACATTATAGATGGATTGGAACCCAGGAAACCTCTCATGGTCCCACTGAATGTCCGACATCACCCTGGATTAGGCATTAAAGCACAAGGAGGTCTCAGACTGAAAGATGAAAGACTTACCTAAGATGCCAAAACAGAAACTGCCCAATCCTCCGATTATTAAGTGCTCTTTCTAATAGGAATCTAGAGAGGGCACAATCAAGAAAAGGCTCATATTTCAACACTTGCACCAACTGTAAAAGATACTGAGAGAGTTCTTCATCACTGAAAGAAACAAAAGAGAGAGAGAGAGAGAAACTTAGCCACCTGTGCCAGAAAAAGAGCCCTCCGTAGCAAGCTCGTGGGCTAACTGATTACAACACTCGGGTCGTCTGGACCAGGCTTGTCACATGTTTACACTCACTGTGCCATGTTGGAATACTGATCAAAAAAGATACAGACTTCAGATGCAGGGAGGGGGTGAGCAGCAAAGAACAGATGCATGGGGCATTCTTATCAAACCTAGTAAGTTGATAACAATGTATAATCAGTCAAGAGTCAAGTCCCTGCCCCCAAATGGCTACTTTAACATACTTCTTATTTCTATTGTGTGTGAGACATGTATATGGTATGTGTGCCACAGTGTTCAAATGGGGGCCAGGACAACATGGTGGAGTAAATTCTCTCATTCTCCCTCTGCATGGGTTCCAGGGGTTACTTAGGACATCAGACTTCTTTCTGCATCACAGCTTCACTTCTGGAGCTACCCCACAGGTCCTGAGTACAACTCTGATCTCGCTAACATATTTTGTATTTTGCCAAATGAGTATTTTAAAAATGAAAGCTTTAGTGATTTATTTTTGATTTGCTATCCTGTACTTTTAAGTAATTCATTCTTCCATGTCAGTAAATAACTAAAACCTAACATCAAATAGACTGAAGGACAAGAAATGAATGTACCTTTAGGCAGGGATTATAACGATTTCACTTTATAATACATTATTAATAAAGGGACTGAATTTACTCTGGCTGGTGGCTACTGCCATCACAGGCAAGCCCAGCAGTTCTGGAGGTCAGAGTACCCAGTCCTCTCAACTATCCACAGTGCAATGGGTAGCTGAGGTGAAACTGGGACCAAACCACATCATTCAATGAGAAACAAATCCCAGAGCACAAAGATAAGAGGGAGGTGTCAGAATTAGCCACATGGGGCAACATATCATTTAAGCATCTCCCCCCAAAATCAAACACTTAACCCAGAGCACAAAGTGTTTTTCATCAGGCCTCCAGTGCAAAGGCAGGCAGACAAAGCAACTGGGGGCTTCACTTTTGCAATTACCCATCCAACAATCTTAACTGATCAGTTAATTAATTATGAAGATCTAGGTCCACTTATAAAAACTGATAGCTAGTATAAAAAACAGAAGTATAAGCCAGGTAGTGGTCATGTACACCTTTAATTCTAGTACTCAGGAGGCAGAGGCAGATGGATCTCTGAGTTTGAGGCCTGCCTGGGCTACAGAGTGAATTCTGGGGCAGTCAGGGCTATACCGATAGTCTCGGAAAATCAATAATAATAAATAAATAAATAAAATAAATAAACAATAAAGAAAACCACCATAAGCAGAAGTATAAAAATAGGCTGTTTCTCTTATATATCTGATTTTGCTTCTCAGACCTCTATTACGAGAGTTTACATAGTTTCTTCTGCCTACCAGACTATTTAAAACAGATCTAAAGCAAGAGGGGACCACAGCTAGAACTCGGGGCATGAATATCTATCAGTCTGAAATTGAGAACTAGCTAGTCTGTGCTACACAGTGAGTTCAAGGGTAGCCTGTGAGATCCTTCCTGAAAATAAATACATAAATATGCCTCCATCATAAAATATTAGCCATTTTTATTTGGGGTAATTAGTAGACTGCTGTGAAGGAAAGAGGCAACACAGTTTTGTTTGGAATCTAAGGTTTCAGGAGTCTCTCCTATATAAAGGGAAGAGTGGTCGACTGCACCTGAACTGTGCCTGCAGAGCCAGCAGGGGGCACTATGATGAGAATCCACATGAACATACAAGGAGCCACCACCCTCTTTCTTACCCACCCAGTAACAATTCCTTGCCCCAGAAAAAGAGATACCTCATCTGTCGCAGGCAACCTACAGCATATTCCCGGACATACTGGTCTGGGTAGTTGAAATCCAGGAGCTCCAGGGCTTCCCTGGGTGGCAGTTTGGGCCAAATCTGCAGGAGTGCCTGAAGCTGTTTAAAATTAAAACCAGGTCAGAAGTGTGGTGGACAAAAGTAACATATCTTTCTTGGCATATGGAAACAGAGATGAGTCAAAAGAAAGGAAAATGTTAATTACTGATGCCTCAAACATTCCCGAAGATGCAAACTAACAAAGGTTGTTTCTGTTTCTGAAACATGCTATATATACATTTACAAGGTTATGATGTGCTTAATGACGAGAGTAAGACACTGCGGATGTGGACTCTGCAACCATCAGCCACCCATCATTTAAGGACAGAAGAAAAGAAACAGCCAAGAAGCAGCAAAGGTAAAACTGTCTGCAATTCCAGTTCCAGGGGCTCTGACACCTTCACACCAATGCACATAAAATAAGTAAGAAAACAGCTGGGCAGTATAGTGGCACACGCCTTCAACCCCAGCATCTGGGAGGCAGAGGAAGGCAGATCTCTGAGTTTGAAGCCAGCCCAGCCTACAGAGTTAGTTCCAGGACAACTGGGTCTATACAGAGAAATCCTGTCTTGAATAAACAACAGAAAATAAAAAGAATATAGAAAATTTGTCCAACAAATGGAAATAACCCTGTGGAAAGACACATTACACCAAAATCAATGTAATGTATACAAATGTATATACACACACAGAGCTACAGAAATGAATTTTTTGTTATTTGGGGGAAAGAAAGTGGGGGGAGCATGGGGAGAGAGGGAGGAGTGGGGGAGGGAGGAGGAGGAGAGAGGGAGGAAAGGATTTTTCTGTTACCTGAGCAACATCTTCAAGTTTATTCCACTTGATTGACAGGAGTAGTTTTGGCAGTGACTGTGGGAAATTTTCTCGGCAGTCTTGCCGCAAAGTCCAAATAAGATCCATTTCATTCTCACACAGTTGAGACAGGGGGTCTCTGTCCAAGATTTCTTTCAGTACAGCAAGAAATTTTTTTCCACCTCGACTCTTAAGAAAGTAAAATATTCATTATGGAATTTAACTGTGCAACACACAGGCAACCACTTAGCAAATTTATATGCAATGAATTTATAATTGTAAGCTTTACCAGTTGAAATACAAAACTGAAATTCTGTACAAAGATTAAAGTGGATCCTTTCACAAAGTTTGCATTGCTCAATTTCTGAGCAATGTATAAAGAGTTTCCTGCTTTTGTTTTTAAATCCAAGTTCAAACACTAGATGGCACTATTGCTTTTAGGTTAAATATATCGTATTTAAATATAGCTTACAAATTCACTATTATTTGAGTGGACTTTCTTCTTTAAGCACCCCTTCCCCATGCCACACATGTGTTCGCACGCACGCACGCACGCACGCACGCACGCACGCACGCACACACACACACACACACATACACACACACACACACACACACACGCGCGCGCCACCATGTGGGGCCTGGGGACCTAACTCAGGCTGTTAGGCTTAGTGGCTAGCATTTCATTCACTGAACCACTTCATTACAATGAAAACTTCGTAGAAGGATTCACTTTAATCTTTGATTTCTACCAACCCCTCTCCTCCCCATCTCCATGTGGACAAGATAACCCAAACATATAAAGAGTAAGGTAAAAGTAATAAATGAGACCTTCTTGGCTTGTGCCTTGGCTTAAAGGCATAAAAATTTCTATAAAGTGGGAACCCTTTATAGTGAGAACAACAAAGAAAATCCTGTGTATTTTAGAATACTAACTCAGAACTATGCTCAGTGTCCTGGACTTGATCTTAACCCAACAAAAATAAAGAGAAGCTGAATTTCACCAGCAGTGGTGTAAATGCAGCATTTAGGAGGCCTTGGCAGAAGGATTCAAAGTACAAGTCAACACAGGATGATCCTGTTCAGACAGCAACAACAACAGACACCTGCCACATTCCAGCACCTGGGAGGCAGAGGCAGGAGATCCAAGGCATCTTCGGCTACAGTGAGTCTGAGGCCAGTCTGTCTAAAAACGGGGATGGAGTATAGACATGAAACGGGGATGGAGTATAGACATGAAATGCAGATGAACCTAACAGGGATCTTCAGGAAGAGAGTGAAGAAGGTATGACTAACGATGGGGCCTTCAGACTCAAGGAACAGTGACATGCCAGGCACAGTTGAGGGAGCTCCAGCTCAGATTCGAGGAGGAGGAGGAGGAGGAGGAGGAGGAGGAGGAGGAGGAGGCAGCAGCTAGGGAAATCAGGATGGGGAGACTAAAGCTTTGTGCCTGAGAAGGGAACAGTGCTTCTGGCCATGCATGTCCCTCCTGTTTATGCTGAGACAGAAATGATGTCAGCAGTGAGGAGTAAAAACGCTCGCCCCTGGGAGCTACCTGGCTCCAGAATGCTTGGGAACCTTCACATGTAGCAGACTTCATCCTGAAGGCACATTACCTAGTGTGAACAGGCAGGCAACCAGAGTTTAAAACTTAAGAATAGGGAAACCAAGATCACAACCAAGGAAAACTACCCGAAGAGTAAATGATAATATTAATAATAATGATGATGATGATGATGATAATTCCAAGTAAGAACCAATGAGCTGAGGAGGTAGCTAACCTGGGGCCATGGATGCCTGCTGTGCAAGCACAAAGACCTGGACTTTGATCCCCAGTACCTGTGTGAAAGCCAGGCATAGCGTGTGTGCATGCCTACGTGCACATTTGCATGCATAAGAGTGCATGCCAGTCTGTGTGTAAAGTCCCTTCCATAGAGAAGCCAGAGCCAGTGGCTTCTAGAAGCTTGCTAGTCAGTCTAGACACCATCTCACAGAGAGACTGAAGTCTGTAGGAAGAATTGCGATGTGCCCACTCTGTTCTAAGGAAGAATGCCCTAACTTAAGACGTTTAAAATCTGTAACTTAGTAATGAAGAAAGAATATTAGACTGAGGCTCAGTTTGCTGTTTGCTGTTCTTTGTTCTGGTACCTTCTATGCAGCCAAAGATGATCTGATTTTTCTGCCTCTACTTCCCAATTGCTGGATTAAGGCATGCACTGTCATTTAAAGCCTCAACAGTCACACACCTTTACTCCTAACGTATCGAAGGCTGAGGCAGGACGACTGAGCATTCAAGGCCAGCCTGGAGTACACGGTTAGACTATATAAACAAAGCCCTTCATCCCTTTTACTCTTCTCTAGTACCAGCACACCTTACTCTTAGCCAAAACCATGGCAGTCTAGTAAGAGATCATGTCGATCAGCCCTACTTAAGGTCTAGTCATGTGTCCACGGTCTAGCCCAGGAGGTGTAAGCAGGATATATATTAACAATAGGTTCAGAATCAATTAATTATATGGACTCTAGGCTTGCTTCCATGCTTCTGTTGTCTGTAATGTAGTAAAACAGGAAGCTGGAACAGGAATAGTAAATCATAAAACAGAAATGACGCTTTCAACTTGGCAGAGTCCTCAGGAGAAGACACAAGTCTCTCACTGTAAAGCTAGTCCATTTTACATGGACTTTGCCATGTGAAAGAACACGGCCTCCTAAGTTAACTAAATGACACTAAGATAGTCCTGGAAATCTATGAGGTGCACTAGCATCTACTGTGGGCCACTAACCCTGAACTTGTGCAGAAAAGGGTTTACCCTTCGCATACAAGTCACAAAAATGGAGCTACATGTAGCCAGCACTGGCATGCAAGACTGCTTTGGAGTTATGTCTCTCACACATTCATTACAACAGATGAGGCAATGGCCCCTCATACTGCACATAGCTACACAGCAAGAAGGGCCAGGTGACGCTTGATACTTACTGACATGTTAGCACTGTCACTGCTGGCAATCTCAGCTGCCTTTTCAATGATCTGTTTAAAAAAAAAATCATAATAAAAAAGTTAAAGTTTTTAATGAACAGAAAGGAAGACTTGCACTGGTGGTTGTCACAGGAGACAGCAGTGAAGTTTTACACACTGGCTCCATACTGCCTTTCTCAGAGACAGGAACAGCTGTCATTTTCCCATCCGGTCCTTCCCCAGGGTGCATTTGGGACTCAATATTCAACTCTATTCCTAGATGGAAAGATGGCTCAGCAACTGAGAACAGGTCTTACTTTTGCAGAGGACTTGAATTTGGCTCTTAGTATCCATGTGGAGTGGCTCACAACCACCTGGGACACCAGATCAAAAGATCTGATACCTCTGGCTTTTGCAACACCAGTAAATGCTCATGCAGAGACCACAGAGGAATACTGCTTACTGGTTTGCTCACCACAGTTTGCTCAGCCTGCTTTCTTATATACTGCAGGACCACCCACCAAAGGGTGACACAGTCTACAATGTCAATCATTAATCAAAAGAACAAAAAATGCCACACAGATCAGCCCAAAGGCCAATGGTGGAGACATTTCCTCAGTTAAAATTACCTTTTGTCAAATGACTCTTTTATCAAGTTGACAAACACTAAACAGGACACACACACACAATTTAAAATAAATATTTTTTTAATTCAATAATATCTCGAGGTTTAATGATACTGTTGTATAATGTAGTCTGTTTAGGACCCATCAAACTCAATATCAGGTATATATTCAATAAAATATTCAAAAAAGTTAAAGTTTGGCTTTGATATTTGTAAAATTTTCATTGTTAACTGCTATTTTGCACTTGGATTGAGAGACTGCACACAATTGATACTTCTACGCTTTATAAATAGAAACAAATTTTAAAAATAAAACCCAGTGTTTCCCAAAGTGTTCCAAACTCTTAACAACAGAGAAATGATGGGGTCACTGAAGAGACTGCAGGGGGAGGGCGCTCTCAGACTGTTTCTGGATAAAGTAAGTAAGAGTCACTAAGGCAGGGGAGGGGCTAGTGTAAATGGCTCAGTGCATTTACTCAGTGCATTTGCTCAGACCTGCACTTGGTTCCCGGGACCCACAGGGTGGCTCACAATCATCTGTATTCACAGTTTCAGGGGATCTGATGCCCTCTTTTAGTCCCTGGGAACTACAAACATATGGTACATAAATATATATGTGTAGTCCCTGGGAACTACAAACATATGGTACATAAATATATATGTGTAGGCAAACACTCTACACATAAAATAAAATAATCTAAAATAGGTAAGCCTTATCATTACATTTGGTTTTTCAAAATCAACAGCTATCAGGGGCTAGCACATGAGGGAAGGGAGCAGCAATCTGAGAACAATTTCAGCACAACAGTAGGGTGTGCTGAAATGAAAAAAAGGACAGGTAGGAGAGAGAAGGGAAATAAACAGAAATTTAGGTTTGGTGGAGGTATAGCTCAGTGGCGAGGTGTTTCCTAACGTCTGGGTATGCTTCTCAGCACTGCCAGTAAAAAATGTGGCAGCGATGGTGTCATTGAAGCTGAGAAGTATTTTTCAATTCCCTTGGTTTACACAGAGGGCTCATATTCTTGAAAAGATTGGAACTGACAGATTCTGAGAAAGGAAGAGTCAGTCATAAGTTCCCTGGTGTTACTGAGTTCTACAGTACTAAGCAATTACCTACATTATTTGGTGATTCAAAGTCTATCCCAAAGGGTGTTTTCTAAGATGAGGTAAGAGTATATAGTCACTAAAGTTAAGCAATAGTCATAAAATTGGCTTGTAAGATAAAACTGATGACAGGCAGTAGTACTGAGTAACAACAGCATCTTGGGAGATTTTCTCTTTTACATTTCTGTGACTTATTTTGTGATCATCACAAAAAATTCAGAGGCAGAAGGGCTTGCCAGGCAACTTTGCAGGACCTTGATGAAAAAGAAAGTTTAAATGGAGGCCAGGCAGAACTACATGGTGAGGCACTGACCCTGCCATGGAGGACCTGCCCAGCACTCAGGAGGCCCAAGGTCAACTCCCAGGGAACCACCCCTCACCCCAGAGAAAAGGAACCCAGAACCCCAGAACTCCCCATGTGTGGTGGGTCAAACCGCAGTACTCAGGATGCTGGGGCAGGGCAACTGAAAAGACTACATAAGAACCATGGCAGCAACAGGGTAATTACACATTTAAAGAAATCTGACTTCTCTAAAATTAGATAAATGCAAAAATATTTGCATAATAGGTTAGATCTGGAAAATGCCTTAAGAAGCATCTAATTTGATCCCCCAATAAACTGCAACTGATAGTGAACACACACCATGGCTGGTAACAGTCACTAGAGAAAAGACTATGGGATGTAGCACATACAACAGTGGCTTCTGGACCACAAATTCTTACCTCAGTATACCCACAGGTAGCACAGAAAGGTAACAGATGAATCAAAACGTAGGTTTTTCTCCCTACTCAGCGTGTATTAAAATAGAAAGTTCCTAACATACTCAGTAATTGTTTTAAAAAGCACAACTTTTAATTTGGCTTTAAATTACCAATCACTTTAATCCTATGTTTAAATTCATTTAATTTGCAGTGCTGGTGCTTGAACCCAGGACCCTGCACGTGCTGGGCAAGCACTCTACCACTGAGCGGCATCCACAGCTCTTCTTTTATTTTTCATGTTTTTTGAGAAAGAGCCACTTTATATGTAACCCAGATTGACTTGCAATCCCCTGCCTCAGTTTCACCACTGCTGGATTATAGGTATGAGGCACCATGCCGGGCAGAAAGACCTTGTAATGAGAAATTGGCTCTTGGAAAGACAATTCACTTAAAGTACAAATAAAGAAAGCAATGTTGAATTACATAATTAAAATTTCACAATAGTCTAGATTGAGTATATAGCTCTGTAATATAAAGAGTTCTGCTTAATGAGGCTCTGAGGTCCAGTGTCAGCACCCTGCCCACCCCCACACACACTGACAGTTCCTACACATACATGTCCTTTAAACACGCCTGGTAGTGTCTATATTAAAACAAACTGAGTTTGTAAGTGGGTTAATGTAGATATTATTTAGTACTTTAAAGGTAGCCTTTTCTCATTTGGATTAAGAAATTTCTTGTATATGTTTTGGGGATTTGCCCTGATATTTCTGTATTACAACAATACCAATCATACTTAAAAAGAAATATCAAACCTGAAAAGCAAAACATATTGCAGGGGGTTGGAGGGATGGCTCAGTGGTTAGGAGCACTTGTGGCTCTTCCAGGGGACCCAGGCTGTGTTTCCAGAAACCTACATGGTGGCTCACAACAAACAGTCTGTAATACCAGTTTCAGGGGATCTGATGCCCTCTTCTGACCTCCGTGAGCAACAAGCACATGTATAATGTACACACAAAATACTCATACACATAAAACAAAAACAAAATATGAATCAAAGGAACTAGAAAGGGCTAGGGGTGCCACCCAGTGGTTAAGGATGCACCTCAAGACCTAGGTCCAACTTCCAGTGGGGAAGGAAGAGGGAAAATATACGAGAGCTCAGCTTTCTTAGCGTACAAATCATTTCAGTCCCATTTTTAAGCACTACCAAACAGTCTCCCTTCAGATGCACAGCTTGTACACTACAAAGATGTATTTTGAAATAGAAATCCTCGCTACAGATTCCACGGAGATCATTGCCAGGCTTGGTGCCTTACCCCTGCAGCAGTCCTAACTCTTGGAAGGTGGAGGCAGGAAGACTGTCAAAAGTCAAGGCCAAGTGTGTTGAACACGGTGAGTTCTAGGTCATGCTGCTAGAGTGAGAACTTAAAAGCCACTACCCTTTTGTTTGTTTGTTTGTTTTTTGTTTTTCGAGACAGGGTTTCTCTGTGTAGCTTTGGAGCCTATCCTGGCACTCGCTCTGGAGACCAGGCTGGCCTCGAACTCACAGAGATCTGCCTGCCTCTGCCTCCCGAGTGCTGGGATTAAAGGCATGCGCCACCAATGCCTGGCAGCCACTACCCTTAAAGTCCTGAAAACAGTAATACCCGGCATAAATCACTCATTCTTTCACTGTACCTTTTATCTCTGAATCAACCTGCCAGGCATGTTTCACAGAACACATTCAGAGGTATTCTCGAATACACCCAAGAGGCTCTTTACATCAGAAAAGAATTCAGAACAATTAAATCCCTCTGTAAACATGGTCCCTGAACTCCAGAGACAACAAGCTTCACTTGGTCAGAGAGAAGCCAAAACCAATCACTGTATTGCACACCCTTCTACTGGATCACAATGTCAATGTATGGAGAGTTTTGAAAGAACTGGACACTCAATTCCTTCGTGCATAGTGGCCTTTTAGTCAGCTTACCTTATCGAAGGGAGGGTAATAATAAGGCTGCTTTTTATTCTCTGGAAACTTAATGTGCAAGGCAGTTGCATTTTCAGCATATGGGTTCGTCTGCACAGTGCCCATTGGATTCAGCATTTCTTCCAGCTCATCTGAAACATGCAAATAATTTGGATTCTTAAGAAAATGTTTTTGGAACTAAACTTAAAAAAAAAGTCTGGTAAGGCAGTGGTGGTGCCTTTAATCCCAACACTCAGAAGGCAGAGGCAAGTGGATCTCTGTGAGTTCGAGGCCAGCCTGATCTACTGAATGAGTTCCAAGACAGGCAGGGCTACACAGAGAAACCCTGTCTCAGGAGAAAAACAAACAAACAAACAACAACAACAAAACCCCAAAAAATAAAATTAAAATAATTACACAAACAAAAACCAAAAGTTTGGAACTTTTTTTCTTTCATGAAAACGTCCTAAAAGTCGTGTCTTGCCTAAAAATATTTAGCACGCTGTATAGGTAAGCCTTTATGCATATGTGAATGACTTCATTCCAACTGGAGAACAAATGCTTTTACTGTTTTCTAAGTCTAAGGAGTTAGAAAGGCTCACAACTTTGAGCAATTAAGCTTGTTACAGAAGACACTGCTTGCTACTCAGGAGGTTTCCTTAAAAACCTACAAAAACAAAACGTTTAAAACAAGAACACATTGAAATAAAAAAAAATACAATCAAGAACTTCATTTCTGTAGCAAAATACTGCTTGTAAGTCAATTAGAGTAAGTAACAATTGGACATGGTGGCACACAGAGGCAGATGGATGCCTGTGAGTTCGAGGCCAGCCTAGTCTACAGAGTGAGCTCCCGATCAGCCACAAAGAGACCTTGTCTCAAAAAGAAAACAAAACAACAGAAAAGAATAAATAACAAAAACAATTTTTTTACTGAAACACAGCAACAAAGTGAGTAATGCACCAGTAAAATGCTAGCTGCTCTCAGTACTAGGGACTGCCCTTAGAAAGTAAATCTTACCAGGGAACGAAGACCAGCTGTGCAATATTATGTCTCCAGACCTCAGCTGTCCTTTGAAGTCAAAAACCATCGTATTTACCCATGCTACAGGATAATGCTGTTGAAAAAGGTATCATTACATAAATAAACCCAGAATGGACTTCAAGGCGTGTCAATGTTCATGCCCCCATTCCAATGTTAGTACTAGAAATTTCCGAAGTGCTAGGTAACTTCCAAAAGTTCATGCAAAATGAAAAGAAAATATAGATGAGAACAATTCCAATTATCTTTAGAAAAAGGCCAATTAATACCACAGGCCAATTAATACCACAATAAAACAGTATGTCCACAAAACAGAAAGTTTTTTGTTTCAGCTTTTGAAACTGAGGAAGTTTTTAAATGATGAGTACAATGTGGGTGGTAGAGTAAATCTCAGCGTGAGGGGGGGGGGGAGCTGCCTCCGGATAGATAGTGCAGGAATGACTTATGCTGCTAAAAGGTGTCACCAGTGGTGTCATATGTGGTGACTCACACCAGCAATCCCAGCTCAGGAAGCTGAGGAAGGAGGACTGCTGTGAGTTTGAGGCCAGCCTGGACTACATAGCAAGTTACAGACCAGTCTGGTGTACAGAATGAGAACCTGTTTGTTTTTGGAACAAGATAATGGACAAGATAATCCAAACATAAAGAGTAAAGTAAAAGTAATAAATGAGACCTTCTTGGCTTGTGCCTTGGCTTAAAGGCATAAAAATTTCTATAAAGTGGGAACCCTTTATAGTGAGAACAACAAAGAAAATCCTGTGTATTTTAGAATACTAACTCAGAACTATGCTCAGTGTCCTGGACTTGATCTTAACCCAACAAAAATAAAGAGAAGCTGAATTTCACCAGCAGTGGTGTAAATGCAGCATTTAGGAGGCCTTGGCAGAAGGATTCAAAGTACAAGTCAACACAGGATGATCCTGTTCAGACAGCAACAACAACAGACACCTGCCACATTCCAGCACCTGGGAGGCAGAGGCAGGAGATCCAAGGCATCTTCGGCTACAGTGAGTCTGAGGCCAGTCTGTCTAAAAATGGTCATCCTCAATTGGCAGTCTAGTGGATTATCTAGAGACCTAGATAATCTCAGGCTAGTCTGGGCTGTGAGTGATCCTATCTACAAAGAGAAAGACAGGAGAGAGACAGACACAGAAAGAGAGTGAGAACATGAGGGAGGGGAGAAAAGAAAAAACATTTGACTAATAACATGAAATAGAAAGGCTAGGACTGTGGGTCAGTGGTAAACCTGAGCATACAGAAGGCCCTGGCTCAATCCCCAGAGCTGGAAACTCAAACAAAACCATTATTGGTTCTGAGACAACCCTGCTGGCACAGATGTTTACTCAGTAGGCAGAGGCCAGGGGATTGAGAGCTCAAGGCCAACCTAGGCATCACCATGATTTTCAGGGCAGCCTGAACTACACAAAAAGACCCTGTCTTTAAAATGATAGAAGAAATATAGGGAATATATATGTGTGTGCATGCTCGAGAGTCTCGTGCGCACATGTGTGCATGTGTGTTCATGTATGTGCAAAGGTAGAGATATGGAAGATGACCATTTGACAACAGTTCTAACATCCTTTAACTAGGATTTCCAAATCCAAGGGATTCTGCAAGCTAAGTGTATTTATACTACGGTGACAGCAAAACAGAAGCAGAGGTTGTCTAAAAATTACAAAAAAGGCTTGATTTTCACATTCAGTACAAATATTCTTATTTCATTCCAAAACCGATGTCCAGTCATGCATTCGTGTCTTAAAGTCATATCAACTGTGCTGGGTGAGGTAAATCTCTAAACTTTCTAAAATTAAAAAAATCTTAATTTTCAAATATATATACTTGGAATTTCAGTTAAGGTACTACGGATTAGCTGTTTTAAAAATGTCATCACTTCCAGGTTCAGTGGCTCATGCCTGCTAGACCCATCATGCAGAGGCTGAGGCAGGAGCATCACAGTGGGTTTGAGGTCAGCCTGACCCACAGATTGGGGAGAGCACTGGGCCACCCTAGGTTCTCTGCTTCTGTAACAGGACAGTTGTGTCATGAAATCTCCTCAAATAAATTTGACAAAATAACATAAAAAAAGACACATGGATATGGAAATGTTTTCATCTTCTTGAAACTAGTTCTTAGGGTTCAAGCCACACGAAATAATTTAACTTCTGTTAGTTATTTCAGAGCCTTAAAATATTCCATTATATAAACAATTTTCTGAAGTTATTATATCATTACCACTTTCCCAGCTTTCCTGATGGTCTGATATTTAGAGGGATTAATAGTTTTTGTTGATTTCTTTGTTTTTACTTTATCCAAAACGGCATAAACAGCAAAACATAATCGAGCCATTCTTGGTAAGTCACAAATATTAATATCAAATTCCAGTTGTTCATTCCAAATATGGTCATTTTTTCCTGATATTTCTGAGCTGACGACGGTTTTACACAGGAGCTCTGTTCCATGAAAAAGACCAGCTCTGACGTGAACCTGTAAAGGGAGATGAAAACAATCAGGAATCCTGCACAAGAACAGCAAACGGCCCCTCTCAAGGACAACTCGAGCCCTGGAAAGCAGGGCAGCAATGTTAGACACTTGCATACAGACGTCGGCGAGATCTCAATACCGATGGCAAGTTAATCCAGTGTTCCATCAGCAAGCAGAGCAGCTATATCATCAAATACTGCTCAAAACAGTTTGCTTCCCAGCACTACACATAAATTAAAATGGACATCTTCTCTGCATATCCTTTATTCCGGTACTTGTAGTAGTTACCTTGACATGGCATACAGGAACTGCATGCCAATCCAACAAGAAATGCCATGGGGAATAAAAATGAAATAAAAAAAGAATTAACTTCAGTCACACGTGTGTGTCTGTGTGTGTGTGTGTGTGTGTGTGTGTGTGTGTGTGTGTGTGTGGACAGAGGAAGAGGTCTATACTGGGTATCTTCCTCTTTTGCTTTCCATTGTATTTTTAAAGGCAGGTTCCCTCAGGGAAGCTGGGCCTTATTAATTATCGTGGCCGGCTGGCCAGTGAGCTAGCTCCAGGGTCCCCCTCAGGAGAGAGCTTGGGACTCTGCTTTGAGGAGACTATACTCAGTAGCTGGGTGTATCTGACTTTCTTCAGAGCACCTCTTTCTCCCAACTTGCATGCTCAAGCACATATCTTTAACAAGACCTTCAACCTAGCAGGGCAGTGGTGGTGCACACCTTTAATCCCAGAACTTAGGAGGCAGAGTCAGACGAATCTCTGAGTTTCAGGCCAGGCTGGTCTACACATCGAGTTCCAGGACAGGCTGGACTAAGCAGAGAAACTCTCTCTCAAATAAACCAAAACCAAAACAAAACAAAAACCTCCAACTTAAAAAAAAAAAAAAGCGAGGAGTAAAAGTAGAAATTAAAACAGCAATAAAGGCTGTCATCAACTATAAGCTCACTAATAGCTACATTGATTTTATTTTATGACATTGTGAATAATAACTGTTTCCTCTTTGTTTCATCCAACAGCTGTATAGACAGCTAAATATGCAGACCACCGA